AATATATAGGTATCCTACTACTAACTGTGTCTTTTCAGTACTACACTCCAGCAGATATACAACAAGGGTTTGAATATATGGAACCTTACTATTTATTATGTTTCCAACATTGTAAAAAATATGTAATTTAGTGATTATTCCACTTCAGAAAGCTTTTATAACATCCAATATTCTTGAAAAAAAATACTGCTTTGTTCAAAATTCCCCTTAAAATGCCTTTTTAAAATATATTTTCCATATATTTTTGCAATTGCACAGGTCTGAAAATAAGCAGAAAAGATTTATCCTCTTTATTATTTATGGCATTTGTCTATATATTCAAATAATGGGTAAGGATATGTTCCATATGAATATTTCATGCTGTTTACACTTTGAGTATTATAAAATATTTGTTACATTGAGGTATCCTATTCTCTCTTTGTAGTCCAAAAAATCACTGAAGGGAAACAGTAAGCCCTATTTATAAGAGCTCAGATAACTTTTCTCTGTTCATGAAAACTAATGTGGCCCTACAGCCATCACTGAAAGTACTAGGGGGATATGATAAGTGAAGTAAAGTGCTCTTGATGAATTTAACCCCTGAACCTACCTAACCATTTCATGAAAAAATATTAGTAAAATAGAATAAACACAATTCTCACAACTGCAATTTTTGCCATTTTCTGAAAATCTAAGCTACCTGAACCTTTTTGGAGTAACCTACAGGAGTAATAAGCTTTTATTCTATGTTCATTTGGAAAGAAGACTCCTGTAAGCCATCTTTCCAAAACAGCTGTGAATGAGCCTTCTCAGAAAGAATTAAACTGATTTAAAAAAAAATAATTGATTTAAAAAATGCACATCCTTAGCCAGCAGGGAAAAAATGAATAGAGGACTTGGACAAAAGACAGTTTTAAAAAGCTGGATTTGTAACTATATATCTTTACTTAATTAGACTGCCAATTTAATTGTTTCTTTTGGAACAAGAAATCTAACTGCCTCATTTAAACAATGAAGAAAATAAGCAAAAGCTATTTTTCATTAAAAGGTGCATATATTAAACACACAAAAAAAAAAAAAATATTTCTGATTTTCATATTAGTCCCTTAGCTAAAATATTCTCCAGGACATTTTTGCTTTGCTGTTAATGTGTTTTAAATAATTCTGGATAAACAGATTGTTGTATTTTTTGTATCTTAAGAAACAAAGCACATGCCTAATGAAAACATGTAATTAAATAGTGTTTTCAGTATTATCATCATGAGTTCTAGTTTTTTTTTTAAGTCTCCAGCTACACATTCAATAAATGGGATAACTTGCATCTCACCAGTACTGTATATTTTATACTGTTTTATATATTACAACTATTGAACCATTTGACACAACACTGCACAAATGGTAAGTTCACAAAAAAAAATTTATTCAAGTCTGGAATCTCTGGTATACCTCTAATATTACTTCAATATTTGCTGGTTGGCTACTAACTGATTTAATGTTACTTCAAAAGAGATATTTAGATAGCTATTTTGATTTTGACTGATCTCAGAAGATATTTAATACTAAAAAAAGCTATTACACTAGCAAGTATAAACTAATCAGGATCTTTTTCATACAGGATATGAAGGAAGAGAGGCATCTAATTATTTCTGTTTTTAAAATACGTGGAATGCACTGAGATCTAGGCTGCTGGCAATAGATTAGATGACAGATGGACAAAATATGGTCCACGAGCCTGCAGGCTATTCTATATGACCTGTGGGGCCCCTTTAGAAAATTAATATTTATCTGCCCCTAGCTGCCTGTTAAAGATGACAGGAGCCAGAGGCAGTAGGACCCAGGGAAAGCCACAGCAGGAGCCTGCAACAGCAAGGCCCATCAGGCCCTGCCCTCCCAACCCCAAGCCAGAAGCTTCTGGCCTGGGACTGTGGGGATTTGTGCCTCCCTGTGCCAGAGTGGGAAATTCAGGTAAGCGTGGAAAAAGGCAGGGGAGGACCGCAGGTGACTGTGCTAGTCCTTGGGGCCTTGACTCCTGCTGAGTCCTATGGTCTGGCCATGCAGGCAGGAGCCACATGATACTGGAGCAGGCAGTGGGGGGGCAGGGAAGTGGGGAAAGCAGTGATGGGGGGAGTGGACACAAATGGGTGCAATGGAGCGTGGGGCCCACACCGATGTCCTGGGGCCAGCATCAGCAGAGCCAAGAGTGGGGTGGCAGGAGTGTGGGCTGGCAGGCATCTACAGAGCTGGGCTGCAGCAGCAGGGAGAGAGGAGAACTGGCTCAGCTTCATAGAGCTGCTGCCAGCCAGGACCCCGGGCTCCTGCCACCCGGCTCTGGGCCCTGCTGGCATGGGCCCTGAGCTCCTGTCTGGCTGTCGCTGACTCCCATGCACCCACTCACTCCCAGTCCCCCCACTCCAGGCCCACAGTACAGGCAGGGACCAGAGCACGCAGCCCTGACCCCATGCGCCCCATGCTATGCCTGTGCTGTGCCAGTCTGCAGTGAGGCTCCTTCACCATCACCTGTGAGCAGTGACAATGTGGAGCAGCCACTGGGCAGCTTACAGGCATCAGTGAAGGAGCTGCTCTGCAGACTAGTGCAGCGTGGGCTCCAGGCAGCCGTAGAAAAAACTGCCCAGCAGTGACAAGGGGGCGGGGCCACTTTCCACTGCACCAAACAGCAGTTTCTGCCTGGCTGTTGCTGCTGCTGCTCAGCCCCAATGGGCAAGCCCAGAGTGTGCATGGGGTGCCCAGGCTCATGGCTGCACATGCTGGTCCCCACCTCTACCACTGCATACCCAGGGGTGGCAGGACATGCCACAGCAGGGTGGTGCAGAGTAGATGTGGGGCAGTTTGGGACTACATGCTGTTGGCAGTGGCGGGGAGGCTCCACAGGGTGCACAGGCTCTGGGCTGTTGCAGGGTGGGGACAGGTGCTGACCAGCTCGGGGTGGGGGGTGTGCAGGGGGCTCCCATGCACATCCCATATACCCTCAAAACCTTCCCACAAGTCCCACAACCACACACCCCTCCACCTGTAATCACACACCCCACAAATACTATACACACACATCCCCACAAACCCCCATACGCACCCACCCACAGCTCCCCATAAACCCCACATCCACCCATACCCCCAACACTCCTGCATACCCCACATGCTATACAAGCGTAAGACTACATTTTGAGCTATTGTGCAAACACTTCTACATATACAGCACAAACACACACACACACACACACATCAGAATAAAAATATATTTTTTTAATTATGTACTAAAAAATAAACACCCATAATATATGTTAATTAAATTTTGGGGGTTTTTAGTTCTAAGATGGCAAACCCTCTTCCCCAAAGGAATACTTCCAGGAGCAAGGGGAGGGACTTCTGGTGGCAAAGGTCAGAGGTTAGGGGCAGGACTTCTGGTCCCACAATGTCAACCAGAGCACTTGTCAAGGGGTGGGGTTACCCATGCAGCCCTCAACAGCTTGCCAAAACTCTGTAAGCAGCTCTCTACCTGAAATAATTGTCCCTGGATTAGATGAAGAGGGGGAACATTCACCCTTACTTTAAACCGTCCCCATCTTAGATAAGTAATATTCCTTCACAACTCACTGTCCTTACCTAGTGTGCTAAACCCTTTCCCTTCTTCCCCGACAGAAACCTCTTTTAGTTTGGCCACTGGACAGTTATTACAGGGGAAAATACAGCTGTGGTCTCTCTGACTCACAGGCATTATTAATATTCCCCATCCACCTGGGACTATTTGTGTTCAAGGCATTTGGAGAGAAGAGGTTCCAAGACTCTGTTTCCCCTAAAGCTATCACTTTACTTGCTGAGTCTGGAATATCTTAAGAAGCATGGGTCTGCCAATATGACTTAAGGCTATTTCAGTTCTGCCCCATTTCCAGCCTTGCCCCATACAAACACAGTTCAGCCGAGCCAAAGATCTGGACTCCCAACAGTAAAGTCCACAGTTGCTACCTATACACTTACACTTAATATGAGATCTCAATAATTTCTCTTTGATTTGTCCATGAAAGGGGCCTTTTGCTACAAAGCCTTGCATTTAAAAAAGAGGAGGTGGCAGGAGAATGTTAACCATCACTGGGGTAGCTGGTGGTTAGGCCATGCCGTACTACAACATTTTCTTTTAATGACATTATTTCAGATGGAGCTCTGCAGCATTTTCCTGCATATACAATCTTGCTACAGAAGCTGATGAGTATTAAATAAAATACGACTATTTCAGTTTTTGTTTCAGTGCACAAGGCATCCAATGTCTTTATGTTCTATATATTAGAACACAAATATTATTTTAAAAGTTAAATATTTTTCCTTCCCCTAAGCTGCATGGGCCTTCACACCTGAGAAATTCCTAGTTTGAATGCCAGTAGATTAATCTTACTGAAGAGGAAACAACAACACAACCTGAAATGAGGCCATAAAATATGCTCCTCGTGAATACTAAGAATTAAAACAAATGTTGGATATAATGTTTTCTTTGCAAGCATTCTCAGACAATACCAGTTCAATTGAATCTCCATAACCTCAGTCCATTGACAACAATTCCACTCTCCTCATTTCCTGTCAGGATTTGATAGCACAGACCTTGTGCTCAGATAGTATCAGCAGCAGGACTTCACAATGTTACTAGCCCTGCACAGGTGCAACCTAATGTAACCGTGGAGCCTTGGGCTGCCTTTTTTGCAGTCAATATGGGAAATACATTGATCTGCTTTTTGACTTAAAGATATAAACTCTACTCCACTAGGTATTAGAAGTGTCTAAATTCATATTCATTCATCCATATTCATGTCCATAATAGAGAATGAATCCAAACTTCCAAGGGTGAAAGGTAAGCATGCTAACTTTCGGAGAATGTAAGGCTCCCAGTTGCTCTCTGGCCCCTCAAACATTCATTTTTATTATACATATTGTTAAAAACATTTCATTACAATGACACTTTATTTTTAAGGCCATGCCATACTACACTTTATTTTAAAAAACTGCTTATTTAAACTTACTGATGGTTTGTGCTTTGACTTCTCTTTCTCTCTGCTCCCTTTTTTGTTGTTTGTAAAATAATGCAAGGTACCATACTCCATCAAAGCAGCAAACACAAAAATGAAGCAAACTGAAACAAAGAGGTCCATTGCTGTCACATATGAAACCTTGGGGAGTGACTTCCTAGCAATTGTACTTAGCGTAGTCATAGTTAATACTGTGGTAATGCCTGTTCAAAAAGAAAGAGAAGCTATGTTTCAACAAGTGATCATATAGATAGATTTAATTTGCTGAGGATTTAAACTTCTCTTAAATACCAAAATGAATCAGTATTCACCATAATATGCCTCAGTCTTATAATCTGGTCTGAGCAAACTGACCCTTCCACTCACACAAAGCCCATTTATTTCTGTATGTGTTCACATGATCACACAGACTTATGCCAGCATAAAAGTTCTTCCTCATATATTTAATTGTTGGGCTGGTGGCCTGTAGATTCAGCTAAAACTAATTCACTCTGATGTCAGCCATTATCAACTAACTCTACATTTCCATTAAAATATCCCCTGTTTTCTATACACATTACAGAGATAAATGCAGAGACCTGTACATTTTTCCTACTTTATACACGATAATACATTTATAAAACTGACTTATTATTTGGACCTATACAGATATTCGAAAGTAAATATTTAGGGAAAAGTTTCATTACTTAATGAATTTTTAAAGCAAGATGTTTTCAAAAACACAGCAAAGAGTAACTGACTGATATTTGCTTGCTTATAATATACAGGAAGTCATTCTCAATGATCTACTGGATCTCATACTCTAAAAAAATTATTAAATATTTTAGACACCATGTTCTAATTAATAGAGAAGGCATTCAGTCTAGGATTCACTGCATAGCCTTTGATGTACAAGCTAATCACTCAGAAGAGCTGACTTGTAGCTACAAATTTAGGCTATGTAACAAATCATGCTTCAGTAATAGAGTACAACTTCTTATTATGCTTGTTTCTTTATAAGGATTAATTCTGGGCTTCAAATACTATGTTTATAGCACTCCAAATTCAGATCTGAACATCTCTGGACATTAAATTATTTTAGACTTTAAGGGTTTCTATTATTTATATATGTTATTTTATGGCATAAAGGATGTTGTGACAACATAGGGCTGAATTGTGGCTTTTAAGCCACAGCCCTGAGTAAGGTTGATGTGTATTCACCCTTTTCATATGGAGCACTAGCGAGACTAGGGCAGGTTTTTGAAAAAGGTACCTGGTTGGATTTTCTTACATATGCATATTCAATTATGTGCAATATCTTACTAAGCACCTATCTGCATCTTTATGTGCCCAAATACCTTTAAGAATTGGAACAATGGGGCTTTGGAGAGGCACAGACTCCACAAGTGTTCTTTCATACAGATGGGAAGTAGAACAGGTGAGAAGTCAACTCCATCCATTAACAAATGGTCCTTCTCAGTACACCAGCCCCTCTGTATAAGCTAACA